AGACGGTAAGACGACGACACTTGAGACAGTGATAGGGGTTCGCACAGTTATAGGGGAGACGATACCTTTTTCGATCATCTTCGACTCGACCCGATCACATGGCCACTCTTGACAAGAGAGTGCTCGGACGAGAGTATGGACAGCAACTCACGCCCTCCTCCCGCCGCTGGACCTAAGAAACTGCTTTTTCGTCTGTTTCTCTCGGCAAGAGAAGTTCTGGTTGACATAGCCTTGTAACCGCAAGTGACACGCGGTGGAGAATTGCCGGTAAGCGCAAGCTGTATTGGTCCAAATTGCATTTTCCTTTCGCCATAAGGCTCTTCCGGTCTCTCAGCTATCTAGAAAAAATAAGCTTGTTCAGTCTACATCAGGTTGAACCTATTTCGACATCTTTTACTAATGCACTGCATATTTGCGTCAATCCGTACATAATTTTTTTAGGTGGACCAGGATCAGGCAAAGGAACACAGTGTGAAAAAATAGTAGCCAAATATGGATTGTCTCATCTATCGTCTGGAGATCTTCTCAGGGATGAGGTGATTTCAGTAGGCCAAATACCCTTGTAACTTTGACACTTCTATGTTCTGAAGTAACTTTTAACTCTTGCATGCATACTTCTATCTGCAACAGAAACCGCAAGTTCTGTAAAATTTCGATTTTTGTACAGTTCACAAGATGATACAGGGTTTATATAGTTCCGGTTTACGCAACTCTTTCAAAATACCTCTAGAAGGAGAGGAGGTTTCAGCAAGCGCCTTTTGCACACCTCATAAATCTAAACCTGAACCGAGGGGGGAACTCGTTTAAATACTATATGTCCCTCCTCGTATCCTAATCTATTCATTACGCACTGAAAACAAATCAATAAAATGCATTCCTTTTGCAATACTTTTTTCTCAAACATTTCGAATTTCAGGTTAAGTCAGGATCACCCAGAGGAGCTCAGCTCACTAAAATAATGGAAGCTGGAGAACTGGTTCCTCTCGTAAGTTACCACCCTCTTAATCTGTTCGCAGTCATGCGCTATAACTTATCACTGTTGTCTTTTCAGGAAGTCGTCCTCGATCTGATCAAAGAGGCAATGCTGAAAGAAGTAGCTAAGGGTTCCAAAGGATTCCTTATAGATGGCTATCCTCGAGAGGTGAAGCAAGGAGAGCAATTCGAACGTGAGGTCTGTATAGATGTTTATCCTCTAGAGTTGAAGAAGGCGCAGGAACCCTCTACTCCTTTGTGTTCTAGTCGTATTTCTATTCAGATCCAAGAGGCGAAATCAGTCATATATTTTGATGTTTCGGAAGATATTTTAGTACAGCGTCTTCTGCACCGAGCCAAGACTAGGTAGAGCAACCTCTTCTAAACTTCGCTTACTCTTTCATTTCATAAGTGCAAGTTGCAGTGGGCGAGCTGATGACAACATGGAGACTATCAAAAAGCGTCTGAAAACGTTCACAAACGCCACAGCTCCAGTCGTTGATTACTACGCGAAAAAGAACAAACTCATTAGGGTAAATTGTTTTCGTCTATTAAG